GCCGGTGTATGGACATTTGTTCACTGTGTATATTTTTTATTTTGTCCCATAGATTAGTCTCTGTTTTATACATCTGAAATAGAAAAACAAGTTTGAAGTTACTGTGCCTAATGACATAACTATGTCTTTGACATGATCCAACACTCCCTGAAGGGTGGAGTGATGGACCTTGGGCTGCCTGACTTGTTGGAGGCATAAACCACAACACACCCTGGGCTCCCCATCCCCTCACCAAGGCACTATCTATTGTATTGCACAGCTCTGTTTTGGGTATTATTGTTGGGTGTCAAATAATCATGAGAACTCATAATTAGAAGAATCTTACTGAGATAAACTTCCAGAACAAGTTCTATGAAGGAGAAGTGTAAAATAAATTAAGTGGTATATTGTATTTAAAAAATGAAACTTCTGATGATCACTAAGCCTGACCCCCTCGAGTAACTAGACACAGTGTAGTTGTCACCGTGGTGTGTGTGTGTGTGTGTGTGTGTGTGTGTGTGTGTGTGTGTGTGTAACTCTAACGTGAAAGGCCCTAACTGTCTAGTAGTTTAATGTGTCTTGACCATTACTACATGTATCACAGTGTGGTCTATCTCTGTTTTTAACAGAAAGCATACCCCTGTATAGCTTATTATTTTGTGTTCTGGTGCCCTTTTAATCTCGGTTATAAACCACGAACACTAATAATTGCCACTGGCATATAAATCTTAGTAAAAAGTAGTTTCAAATTAAAAACCCAGTATCAAACACATCTTGTCAGAATAAATAAAGTAGACACTTTTTATTGTTTTTAAAAAACAAATTGCTAACATATTACTTCTGGACATTTCTCTGGCATGAAATTTGCTACAAAAAACAATTTAGTTCATTAATGAAAATTTCTGTGTATCTCTAAGCAATGTTTGCTTTTCTTTCAGGAGAGCATGAAAGTCATTGCTCAGCAGAGGTGTCTGCCTGCGCAGTGTTATTCTGACATGCTCTGATCACATTCTGTTTTGCTTTCCTTCTGCTACACTAGTGGTTAGTATTTCAGTCCCTGCTTGGAAGACTTGGGATTTAACATCAATGCTACTCCAAAAGAAAAAGCTTTCATGTGGAGGCAATTTTTGTTTGTTTTTGAATTGGGGTCTCACTCCCAGGCCGGAGTACAGTGGCAAGCTCACGGTCACCCCAGCCTCGACCCGCTGGGCTCCAGCGATCCTTCCACCTCAGCCTTCCAAGGAACCGGAACTACAGGCGCGCCCGGCTAAGTTTTGCCTTATTGTAGAGATGAGGGCCCACCAAGTTGCTCGGGGTGGTCTGGAACCCGCAGGCTCAGGCCGTCCACTCTCCTCGGCCTCCCAAAGTGCTGGGATGACAGGCTGAGCCGCGGAGCCCATCCTGGAGGGGGTTTTAGGCGTGGTAAAAAGGGATGTTAGGGGTTGCAGGGTATCCTTTCTCCTGGGCATTCCCATGGCCTCCACAGCAACCTGCACGCGTTGAATACCCTTGCGGCTTCCTTTGCAAGAGCCAAAAGCATCCCTCAGTGGGTGAACGGCTCCTCAGACTGAGGGGCCTGCCCAGCAGCCAAAGGAGCAGACTGCTGCCAGCACCGGCTGGGACTGACCTTGCTGAGCTGCGCCGGGCGGAGGGCCAACCCGGCTGCACCGTGCGGCTCCATTTACGGGGGCTTCTCGAAAGCACCGCACAGCGGTCGAGCCGGAGGACAGGCAGCTGCGGCCGCACGGGAAGGGCACGCAGGGACTTGCGCTGAGGGAGCGCCGCGTGCCCGGGCCGCCGCGGCGGCGACGCGCAGCTCCACGCGAGCGAACCGCGGGCAGCCCCGCGCGGACGGCCGGTGGCCGGGGCAACTGGAGACGCCGCTCCTCGGGCTTGTGGTGGCCCGGCCGTCACGCGG